TGTCCCTATAGGTGTCCCTGGTGACCCTGTGGGTGCCCCTGTGGGTGCCCCTGTGGGTGTCCCCGGTGTCCCCACAGGTGTCCCCGGTGTGTGACTGACCGTACACGACGAGCACGTAGTGGTCAGCGGCGCGGCCGTGGGCGTTGCCGGCGTGGCAGCTGTAGGTGCCGTTGTCCTGCGGGCCCAGCGCCGGCAGCGTCAGGCGCTCGCCCTCGGCCCGGGCTCGGGGGGGAAGGGACTCGTTGCCACGGCTCCACCACACCTCTGTGGGGCTGGGGGACACGGGGGGGACTGTCACTGCAGTGTCACCTCATTGTCACCTCCCTGTGACCCGTGTCACCTGTCACCCTTATCACCTGTTCCCTCCCTGTGACTCCTGTCACCTCACTGTAACCCCCTGTGACCTCCCTGTGACCTCCCCCCTGTCACCCTCCTGTCACCTCCCCATGACACTCCTGCCTCCTCCCTGTCACCCTCCTGTCACCCTCTGTGTCCCCCTGTGTCCCCCCTGTCCCTGTCACCCACCGTGGGTTCCCGCTGACGGCACAGGTCAGCACCAGGGTGTCACCCCTGTGTCCCCCTGTCCCCCTGTCCCCCTGTCCGTGTCACCCACCGTGGGTTCCCGCTGACGGCACAGGTCAGCACCAGGGTGTCACCCCTGTGTCCCCCTGTCCCCTCCTGTCCCCTGTGCCCCTCCCTGTGTCCCCCTGTCCCTTCCTGTCCCCTGTGTCCCCCTGTCACCCACCGTGGGTTCCCGCTGACAGCACAGGTCAGCACCAGGGTGTCACCTTCGCGCAGGACGTTCTGGGAGGGGACAATCCGCGCCGAGGGGGGGTCTGGGGGGGACACGGGGGGGGTGTCACCTCCTTGGGGACACCAGGGAGCCCCCCCAGTGTCACCTGGGATCCGCTGGTGACACCTGTGACCCCCCCCCGAAGTGGCATCTGTGACACCCCCCAGTCACACCTGCCACCCCCCTGGGTCCCCTCCCCTCATGGCTCGGGTCCCCCTGTGTCCCCAGAACCTCCCAGTCCCTCCCAGTGCCCCCCAGTCCCTCCCAGTGACCCCCAGTGCTCCCCAGTCCCTCCCAGTGCCCCCC